AAAAAAAAATTCAGTGTGTATTTTTGAGCATTCTGTCATGCGACCTTCTACTGTCTTCTTCAACACGCCATTGTTTTTCGATAATAATTTATTCCTCGTAGTCGTTTCACTACAAACGACAGTTTATGGTCCATATTTAATGGATTTTGTTGTGGTTGGTTGAGGTGAAAAAGAAAACCAAGCTAGTGAAATTGAATTGTTCCGTAGAGGAAGGAAATAACGCTAATGAAAAATTCATTAGATAGTTTTGAATGTGGAAAATGAGTGAAAATATAGCACCTGCACCAGGAAATGAATGAGCAGTTTTTGAATGTGGAAAATGAGTGAAAATATAGCACCTGCACCAGGAACTCGAGTATGAATGTTTCATAAAAAGAGAAATTTCAATGAGAAAACCAGCGATCAGTTGAAGCGTTATACAGGTGTAGTACATGTACATTACTGCAAAGGCGTAAAAAATGTTCATTCAAATCCGAGTTTTCTTATATGTTGATATTTTCTGGGTGATAACTGTGCAAATGTTAATTATACTTTGTGAAGACATCTTAAACTTCTCAACGAGAAACGAACTATTGTTCATTAAAACAATTTGATGGTGCTATTCGAATAGTTTTGCGATCCATGAAGCCATTATTCCATATGAGGTCATATTAATCTGTACCATTCGCGCGTCAGGAAGTNTATAAGTTTGGAAGTTCCATATTGAGGAAATCGTTTGAGTTCAGTTCATTCTTCAGTGCTTTCATACATTGGTTTCAGTCCACCGTAGCGCTTCAGTTGAAGCATTGAAACTCTCGTATTGTGTCAGAATTTGAGAGAAAAACAATTTGAGTGAAACGGAGACGTATGAGGGGCTGAGACTATGAACAAAACCAAATCAGCGTTGTTAACTATCTGTGCTTGCAAGTGCGCATTAACGTGATGAGTATCGATATCGGTTAATTTAGAAAAACATCGAATTTCTGGTCAGATTCATTCGCTGCATCATCGATCCCTTCAAATGAGGTTTTCAAGAAATTTCTAGAGATAAAGTTAATTCGTTGTTACGAAGAATGAGGTTAGCAGTATTGTTTCAGTACTTTTTAACAGCAATTGTTTTGCTTACATCTGCAGTCATCCATGGAAGGATAAAACAGAATTCAATTATAATACTTGGTAGCGTATCAATATTTAGCAGTTGAATTGATAATGATTGATTCACTTAATATTATTTGCTGCATTCAGACCAGTAACTATTGTCTTTATCAGGAATATTTTAAATTCATTCAATGAAAGATCAAAACTGCGCTGATACAGATCGGTTTGTATCGAACGTGAATTTGATGATGTCAAATAAGGGGAGAAAAGAATATCGTGAAGGAAATGAATCAGTCGATTTCTTTTTTGTCGAAAATATTAAGGACGCTATTACTGTTATTGACAGCAGAATAATAATCGGTTCTCTTCTTGATTTCGTTTCACATATCCAAATTTTTACGAACAGTATTGATCAATGATTCGCTGATCGTTTTCCATAATCTGAGCCGTTTTATGATTTTGAAATTTAGAAATTTTCGACAATTAGCATTTCGTTAAAAAATATTTATTTCATCGATATTCACGTCTTTTCATAGCCGAATTTCGTAGTTTTATATCATTTCATATTTCAGTTTTTTCGTCTTTGTTCCGAATTTTCAGCAAAAACTGTAAAATTTCCATTTTTATTTCTCTTCATATCCGTATTTTTCAGTTGGTTTATCGTTGCATTGAGCTCTTTCTCTGGTTTTTTTTGCGCACAATTCTCCCATTTTTGTTGTGTTTATTCGTTCTCTGAAGTATTGTTAAGGGCCGTTAAATGCTTATTCGTCAACATCGTTATTCGGTGCATTAAAATCACTTTTGCAAATGCTAACAGCTTTCGGCTAATGCAATAAATGCGATTATTGAAAACAAAATAATAAATTTATTATGCTCATGTTCATTCCACCTATCGTCAATCGTCTCAAATGCACAATTGATTATATCAACTTACAGTGATTCTTCAACTACTTCCTTCACTTATTCCCGCTCAGATTGCAGATTCATTCAGTTTACTTTGTTTTGAATCAAAAAGACGGATGAGTTCGCGTATTGTGCTCGATTTATGTTCTTCGGAT